CAGGAGACTCGCTTGAGCCCAGGAGTTGGAGGTTGCTGTGAGTGTGATGCCATGGCACTCTACCCAGGGGGATAGCTTGAGGCTCCGACTCAAAAAAAATAAAATAAAATAAAACTAGCCCGGCATTATGGCAGGTGCCTCTAATCTCACCTACTTGGGAGACTGAGGCAAGAGGATTGCTTGAGCCCGAGAGGTTAAGGTTGCTGTGAGCTATGATGTCACAGCATTCTTGAATGAGACTCTGTCTCAAAAATAGATAAATAAAAAAGTAAAAGATCTGAGTGTCAGAACACATGAAGATATCGATAGCTATGTATCTTCATCTGTAAAATGAGGGTGATATTGATATTGGGTGGTGCCTGTGGCTCAAAGGAGTAGGGTGCTGGCCCCGTATACCAGAGGTGGCAGGTTCAAACTCAGCCCCAGCCAAAAAAAAAAAAATTTAGGGTGATAAATGTCTGCCTCACTGAGCCATAGGAAAGTTTTAATGTGATCTAGGAAGCACATTTAAAGTGACTGTTAGACAAGTGATGCTTACTACTTTGATGAGCTGTTTTTTTACATTCACATATGGACACACATACACTATCCAAAAAAGGAAATCTCTCATTTTGGTTTTATACATTTGAAGTTTTTTTTTTGTAAGAGACAGAGTTTCACTTTATCACCCTTGGTAGAGTGCCATGACGTCACAGCTTACAGCAACCTCCAACTCCTGGGCTTAGGTGATTCTCTTGCCTCAGCCTCCCGAGTAGCTGGGACTATAGGCACCTGCCACAATGCCTGGCTATGTTTTGTTTATGTTTTGTTGCAAACCCGCCACCCTCAGTATATGGGGCCAGTGCCCTACTCACTGAGCCACAGACACCACCCTAGATTTGAGTTTTTAACCAAGGACTGAAAGATAGGCAAAGCCACATCTTTGCCTTTTTTCCACATAATGATAATGTACACTTGACTTAAGTGCTTCTGTCATTGAAAGTGGTGGGAACATCGGCACGGTGGCTCCCACATGTAATCCTAGGACTCTGGGAGGCTTAGGTGGTGGATTCCATGAGCCCATGGGTGCGAGACCAGCCTGAGCAAGAACAAGACGTCATCTCTTTAAAAAAAAAAAAAAAAAAAAGCCAGGCATTATGGCAACGCCTGTAGTCGCAGCTACTTAGGAGGCTGAGGCAAAGGATTGCTTGAGCCCAAGAGTTTGAGGTTGCTATGAGCTGTGATGTCCTGGCACTCTACCAAGGACATCAAAGTGAGACTCTGTGTCAAAAATTAAAAAAGTGATGGGAAATTTTTGTACTGTTAAATTAGCAAAACTCAAAGAGTTAATAGTACACAGTGTCGTGAAGATATAAGAAAGCAGCACTCTCACACATTGCACAAGTTAGTATAAGCCTTTGGAGCTTATACTAAACTAACTAAAAATCCAAATCCACACGGTCTTCACTTTAGAAATTTCAATTCTGAGTTCTTCCTCCATATGCTTTCAGTTGTGCAGAAAGACATTTATGCAGAGATGATTCATTGCAGCCTTACTGGTAGTAGCCAAAGACTAGAAACAGTCTAATGTGTATAAAGCAGTATGATACATCCAGAAAAGGAATCGATTATTTATATGTTCTTCGAAAGGGGTGTTGAGTGAGACGGGTCAGTCTCCATGATATGACACTAAATGAAAAATGCAAGAGGCTCGGCGCCTGTGGCTCAAGCGGCTAAGGCGCCAGCCACATACACCTAAGGTGGCGGGTTCCAATCCCCAGCCCGGGCCCGCCAAACAACAATGATGGCTGCAACCAAAAAATGGCCAGGCGTTGTGGCGGGC